TGACCACCTGTCAAAGAGCTTCTCCACAATTTCTGCCATGGAAAAAATAGACACCGGTGCTTCTGTGCACTTCTGTGCACTTCTGTGCACTTCTCCACCCACTTTCCATGGGTGGAGAAGTTCTCCTGTGTGCAGAGTGTGAGTTCCAGAAGCAGTGGGAGCATCTCTGCTCAGCATCCAGCATGCACAGCTCCTCTGAGCACTTAACTCCTCTCTGGGCAATTTTCTGAATCTTTATTACACTTTGATTCTGATCAAAGAAAGAAATCCATGGTAAGCTTAAATAAACAAATTGCCTGCTCTTACTTCATGTGTTCATTGCTATGCACACTGAGAGCACTTCAGGGATGGGAGATTTTTCTCACAGCTTGTTTATGCAAAACTGCTCTCTGGAATACCTAACTGCATGGAGAAGTTTCAAATATTCAGAATATACGAGCTTGTGTTAAAACATGAAATATTTCAAATACGAACATATTTGGCAATAAAATTATAAGTGGCCAATGAAGATTGTGAGGGATGTTCTGATGTTCCATCCGGATTTCCAGCACTGAACTTCTGCTCCCAGTAGCAGAAGCCCACCTGCCTTCCAGGCCAATGGGGGGAACGCCTCTTCTTTGAGGGGTGTGTGCAGAAGAAAAAACAGTGGGGAGCAATGGGGACAGAAGGGCAGACCGTGTGCTGAGACGCCAGACTGAGAGCACTGGGGCTGTGCTTGAGGTGCCTGCTACAGGCAAGGCGAGTCACATCTCCAGTGCCATGACTACCAAGCGTGATACTGGCAGGGCTCTGACTGACTGCAATATGCCCCATGCCAGGAAACGGCCTTACAGACTCATTACAGACTCACAGAAATTAGTCAGATTACTGCTATGCCTGTGTCTCTGCTTGTGGTGGTGGTAGAAGCAGAGGTCACCTGGGGAGGGAGACGGCAGGGCAGCTCCACGCACCAACCAGGACCTGCAGGCACTTGAGGGGCTGAGGGAGCAGGGGGGGGTTGGGGGGGCAGCCTAAACCCTGCATCCCTTTGGGCTCTCAGAGACAAGCATGACCAAAAAGGAGTGATCTGCAGTCCCAGGTCAGTGCCTGGGCCTCCAGGCAATGCTTCTCTGTCAGTTGTACTGCAGATGGGGGTTGCTGTCGCTGTGAGTGTTTGCAAACTGTCATTTAATTTAGCCTCCTGCCTTCCCAGAGGTGATGGTTTCATTGGAGGTGTGAGGATTTATGCAGTTCCTGCTTTTAATTCACATTACTCATCCTCACTCCTAATTCCAGACCCGGCGTCCTGAGCTGAGAAATGGAAAACCAACTCAGCTGCAACATCCCTGCTGGTGCACTTTTGCCTTTTGAATTTCAAAAATGAAAACTATGATTTTAAGTTGATGTAGAGCTCATCAGGCGAGTTTTGTGATAATTTCACCTCTTTATCTCAATTTATCAGAGGCCATCGGTACATAAAAGAATAAGGGAACTAAGATAAAAAGCTGGATTTTCCCATGAAGCCACCTTCATGGTTACAGCAGAGCTCTGCGGTGTTCATGTAGTCAGATTTAATGGAGCTCTTACTCCTATAAACCACAGAGTATTAATAAGAATGAAAATATTTTGCAGTGTTTTAATATAGCCAGCTAATGCTTTATTATGACAAAACTGATGCAACACTTTCATTTGATTTTTTTCTGTTAATTTTTTTTCTGTAAAAAATGATCTCTATACTGCAGTCAGGATATGAAGGGGGAAACACAGAACTCACTGCAGAGCTGAGAAAACGCTGCTATCCCTTTTGAGCTGTAAACATTACTCACGTGTAAACATGAGGTTTTTTCTACCTAATTTTCAAATTGCAAGGGCAAAGAAAGAGTCTTCATGTGTCCTGAACTGCTTCCTTTTAATTATCGATTCTGCTCTAGTTCTCATGTATTACTTTGTCACCACATTTAAATGAACAAAACTGGAGAAGGCGCAGATCTTTCTCCACAAAGCAAAGTAACAGTAATTGCATGCAGGTATTGATAACGCAGCAGTAATGCTCTCACTTGCAGGCCCCATCCCGGCTCGGCGTTGTGCAGGAGAAGACATGCACATAACCTTGTACTGCAGGAGCTACCCATGGATTTTCACAGTGACACACAGCACTGTGTGAGTGAAGCCCCTGCCTCGCCGCAGGGCAGCACAGCGCAGCGCTGTACCCTAACTGCACCCTGCTGCCCTGTGCCACCCAGCCCGCGATGGCTGCTGTGCTTTGCTGCTGTGCTGGGCATTCCTGAGGCTTTCTCCTGCCCCAGGGCCGTGGCACACAGCTGGCTGAAGGCTGCCCATTGCCTCCAGGGAGCAGTGCACAGGTCATGCAGCCATCCTTGCCACCAGCCCCGCTGGGTGCTGCCCGCAGTGGCCCCACCACTTCTCCATGCAGCCTGGCAGCAGCCTGACGGCCTGCAGCTCCCCCAGCCTGCCCTTTTCCAACCACTTTGCCCCGTATCACCCTCGTCATAAAGACACATCTTGGCCGAGGTGATTTAAATTTCAGCCCTGTCAGATGTAGGTTAAAAGCTCCTTATGGATGAGATAATATATTTTTTTATCTTCACATAAAATGTTGCACTACTTCTTCCAAACAGAGAAGGGAAACTTGCATGAAACACTTTACCACGTTGCTCGAGCAGTAATGCTATCCCAGTCACCCCATCCCCTATTTAGAAGTCGTCTTCTTTTCTGGAATACTTTTAAAAGTTCCCCACTGCAGCACAGCTGTGCAGAGCCCCGATGCAGTGCTGCCTTCAGTGATTTCATCACCAAATCAACCGGGCTTTCCAGGATTTTGTTTGCAGAACAAGGAGCCACTGTGAGCTCCTTAAGGATCTCCCTAAGGATCAGCTGAATGCCCCCTGTCACTGTGGTTAGGCTGCCCCAAGCTATTTCACAATCTGCATGGTGTATTCCAGCATCTGCTGGGAAATGCCGTAATATGAAATGTTTTCTGTAATTACAGAAAGTCTGAAATTGCCCATGATAGCAGTACTCACAGATCATTTTAATGCCTATTGTATCATACCAACCTGATCTCTGATAGCCGTTAATAATGGTCTCTATTCCTGTTGTCCTACAAAACTGCAATGTCACATCAGGCAGCCGAGCAAGGCTTACAACGAATGGATCTGAAATTAAAAATGAAGACAGCCATTCGCTTTTCATTACTCACCCTGGTTTTCAGCATGTAAAGGTGAATCACTGCCTGTGTTTCTCAGCCAATCAAGAAGGCTTCAGAGGAAGCTCTCTGAAGGAAGATGGGCACGAGATCAGTGCTGTCCCTTTCAGCACAGCCCGATGACTCAGGCCATGTCTATGGCAGCGCTCAAACATAGAATCATAGAATCATAGAATCATAGAATCACCAAGGTTGGAAAAGACCTTCAAGATCATCCAGTCCAACCGTTCACCTATTCCCAGTAGCTCCCACTAAACCATGTCCCTCAGCACGACATCCAGCCTTTTATCCAGCCACATACAGTGCAGCATCCTTATCTGCTGGCGCCTCTGACCTGGAGAACCACATTTTGTTCTTGTGGGCGGTGTGAAGCACTTTGAGCTGCACAACCATGAATACCAACATCTGCCACAGATATTCCACGTCCTTTGTGCTCCACACTTGTTTGCCACACATCTACTGTTGGTTTAAACAGAAACATTTACCTATTTGCAAAGGTTTTGCACACGTGGTCCTGCAGCCTCGGTGTTTACACCTGTTGCATGCATCTCCCCAAATGGCACACCTTCATTTTGCTCCTCTCATAGCGTGACACAGCGCGTTGGGGTGTGTGAATAATTCATCACAACCCAGCCTGTGATATGAACTCTTGGATTTATGGAGCTCAGCACAGGGTGTGCACACTGTGTGCAAGAGGCTTCTTCCTTTAACTGAAGAGCAATAAAAAATGTAAGGGACTTATGAATGGCTAATCTGAGAACTTAGCAGAACATTTTGGCTTTGTATATAAGAATGCGAAGTGAGCATCACTATGGACTTTTCACATTTAGATACAAAGGGTAATTATTGTGTGTGTATTTTAACCACAGAATCATAGACTCATAGAATCACAGAACGGCCTGGGTTGCAAAGGAGCACGATGCTCATCCAGCTCCAACCCCCTGCTGTGTGCAGGTCACCAACCAGCAGCCCAGGCTGCCCAGAGCCACATCCAGCCTGGCTCAGGATACACATTCAGGGTAACTATAATGTAACCATGTTCAGGATAACTGAATATATCATGAATGATGTTATAATCCTTTCTTTTAGTCCTGTTTTTGGTTCACTCCCAAGTCCTCCTACCTGGTGGGAGCAGTTTGGTTCTCACTTGCAGCGGTTTGGTTCTCAGTTGCTGCCATGCACAGCTCCCAGGTCAAGCCAGAGCACTGCTGGATCAAAGCAAACGTCCTTCTGTTTGCAGAAGGGATTTCATAAGGAGAGCTGAATTATGTAATAACCCCACCACAGTCATATATATACACATAAATCAAACATTGGTCCATGTGATAAGCTGCTCTGTAACTTGCACTATTTTCCCACCTTGAAGATCTGGAACTGATCATCATTTATGTGTGATTTTCTCCACATTCTCTTCATACGCATCTTTAAAACAAAGGAAATAAATAATGAGAGAAACACTGCTGCAAACTTCGGGGGCTTTAGGATCAGCCCCAGCGAAGTTCCAATTACAGCCAGAAGATTTTTTGCTGGCATAAGGGCACAATGAGAGCTGCAGGTATTGTCCTGGTGGAATTTTAATGCGTCTTCATTTCTTGTTTTTCTGCTTGTCTGGTTTTCTTTTTTTTTGAAAGAGATTGTAGCGTACAAACATTGGTTTGTAAATAAGAGAATAAAAGAGACGTCAATACTCGCAATCTCCAAGGACCGAGTTCCTGTAATTTTAATTACACTTAAAGTCACAAACCTTTCACTGAATGTTTTTCTCTCCCTAATATTTTATGGGGAAAAAATGCAGACGGCACCGGAGCCCTCTTGACAAGTTGGATTGATTGTAGCAGAAATGAGAAGGAAAGCTGTAAACAAGCTCCCATTGATTGCTGGAGTGGCATTGGCTTCACAGGGAACTTGAAGTAACATCAGGTTTGGGAACCGCAGCCACAAGAAATAACGAAGAACAACAGATGTCTGCATTTCTGAAGGGTTTGGATTGAACTCTGACAAGCATTGGATTGTGCATCAGCTGTTGCAGGTGGGAGGGATTTTTAACTCACTCATTTCTTTGTTTATTTGGCTACTTTTTAATCAGATGCTTTAAATTCTAAGTGAAATTAAAATAGCACTTAGCAAACAAAGCAGTGAAATGGACATTATCTGATAGAGAGTCTCCTGTGTCCAGAAATGTGTGCCATTCTGCTGGCAGCGCCAATAAGGAAGCATGGTACCTTTCCGTGGTAGCCATGCTGCTCAGTGCTCAGACATCACAGGATCACACACAGAACGGCCCGGGTTGGAAGGGACCTCAAGGACCACAAAGCTCCAACCCCCCTGTGCCATGCAGGGCCACCAACCTCCCCATTTCACAGCAGCCCAGGCTGCCCAGGGCCCCATCCAACCTGGCCTTCAACACCTCCAGGGATGGACGGGGCATCACAGCCTCTCTGGGCAGCTGTTCCAGCACCTCACCACTCACAGCACACAACTTCCCCTGACATCCAACCTCCATCTGCCCTCCCTCAACTTCAAACCATTTCCCCTTGTCCTGCTGTTCTTCACCCTTTCAAAGAATTGAAAGAGTGAGGTGCATCTAAATGGACGTCGCTGTTTCCAATGATCACCCTTAGCAAAGAGGCTTAAAACCTCCTGTCTGATTTTGTCACCAAATAAATCCTACCATTTGTCCCAAGGTGCTGCACACATGCAGTCGAGTACCTGTTGTGGTTTGAACTGACGTATAACCAAAGGGAAACCTGAATAGTAAACATCAGCAGTAGCAGTGATGGGTGGCAGTGTGGCAGAGGAGGATCCAAAGCTCTGTGCCCACCGGGCTGGAGAAGGGCTGGGGCCTGCCGTGAAACCCTTTTTTGCTCTGTACCACTCAGAAGGTCGTGTGGGTGAATTCTCATTGCAAAGAACTCATTGCAAAGAACGCAGTGAGGTTCATCCTTACCTACTAAGGATGTGACGATCCTTATGGATCCCTTCCAACTCAGGACGTTTGGCTCCCAGCCCCACAGCAGAACGGTGCTGTGCCCACACGGCTCTGCGCTGCCTGCAGCCCCGGCTCAGCTCTCACTGCAGGCAGTGGGAAGAGGAAGGCTGGGCTGAGATCTGTGATCTGGCTGTGACAGCAGCACGGATGGGGATTGTGTGCATTTCCATTATGTCATTTTCAGAAGTAATGACATTAAAATACGATACTCATTATACATTCCAAAAGAAAATGTGTCTTATATTGTTTTGTGTTTACCACAGAATTCTGCTTATTCTCTGTAATCTTTTCAATGAAAATGAAGCTACAGAGAAACCAATGTGTTTCTTTACTGCAGTGAAAAATACCCCTTATCTTTATATTGAGCTGTCACAGAGAATGACACCCCACATCCCAATATTTTTATCTCACGTCCTAGACTGAAATGTATCAGTGTGGGATAATAATGATTTTTTTTTCCACAAGACACACTCTGAAGTAAATGTATAATCAACTTTCACTATATTATCACTTTGCTAGTCCTATTGTGAATGTCCATAGCAAAATGAAAGCAGGAGTTACGAAACTATCATTTTAACTCATAATCTTTTTTTTCCCCTTTGTTCATTAGAAGCACCACTTCTCATTTCCTGTGGAGAAAGAAACAGCAGCATTTCGTGTTCACCTGGAGGTCACACCTGGAGCTGGGATGTTCCAGGCTGCCAAATCACAGTGCTGAGGCAGTGGCACTGCAGGAGTGCCTGCTGCCAGCGGCCGCTCACACTGCATGGAGGGAACCTTCGCACCTCATGGCAGCAGGGACAGAAACGTGTCCCACTGTGTCCCTGCCTCCTGCCCAGCTGGTCAGTGGTGCTTTGAAGCTGGTCCAGGTGTTGCTCTCTCCTGAAGGCTGATCCAGGTTCATGTTCCGTGGACCAGATGGCCTTTAAATGTTCCTTCCAACTCTAAGGATTCTATGATTCTATGATTGAGTACCTGATACAACACTGCTCCCCCAGAGTAAAGTTAAACACTTTTGTTCCAACTTTCTCATTAGCTTCCAAAAAAGCGCCTTTCTCTGATTCATTCACATCTAAATATTGAACTGCCCTCTTTCCAGCTGCAGGAATGCCCAATGCCTCTCTGGCAATGCCTCCCAGCTGACAGTGCCTGTGCCCCATCTCCCCAAACACGATCACCCCCTGGTGAAACAGGGCACCCACTTCTGTCTGCGTGAGGGAGAGGGCTGTGACAAACTGCATTTGGATGTGATTCAGTGAATCCAGTCTGAGGCAGTGTTCCCAGAGTGACTCACTGTGCACAGCTGCTGGCCCGAGGAGTCCAATGCCGAGGGCTTTCTTGGTGAGATGAAATGTGAATGCCTCCTTAGGCACCAGGCAGGAGCCGCATGCCCAGGGCGAGGAATCCCACTTCTGCACAGCTGCTCACAGGCCACGGCTGTACAGCTGTGTTGTTATAGACAGAAAAAGCATTTTTTCTCTTCCTTTAGACATAAGAACAGCCGCAAGCTGCCCAGTTTCCCTCTGAAGGAAGAGCTGAGGTTTGGTGTGTGCCCAGTAGTGCCTGGTGGGAGCAGAGCTGCACCATTGGGCTGAGCCAGTTTGGAGAATGGTTTTTATTTTTCACTTGGAGGGATTTTTCAGCATCTTTTACCACAGGATTAAAAGCACAGTCAGTTGCACATCTGGTTTGCAAGGTCAGATCCAGAACCATCAAAATATTATAGGGAAGACTACTGCTAGGTTTAAATTTTCCCCTGCCAAAGCTGATACTGGAAGGAATCCTTTATGAAAGCCCACTCCTGTGACATTTCTAGCTAGAATCAGAGATCAAAGACCCATTCCATTTTCAGACTCAGGTCTTGCATTAAAATGTTAACCTTTTTTTAATGTTTTGCCATTGTATTTGAAGGAGTTCAGCCGGCACAGAACATTTCTTAGTAAGATATTGTAGGAAGTGATTGATTTTTTTTTTCTGCAGAGAAGTTCAGCTTGTTTTAGTGAGCTGCTGGGTCACTTGGCAAAGAAAGTTCTGGGAAAATGACAGGTCAGAAGGACTGATGAAGCCTGGAAAGGCACGAAGCACAGCAGCTCCTGTTCAAGGCCAACTGGAAGTGAGAAGAATTTCTTATATGTCTCACTGTTATTAAAATATCAAGTATCCTTAGCTGCCAATTACATAACCTCTGTGCTACAAGAGCAAATTATTTTAATTATAGGATTGTTGTATGCTTAGAGATCATTTCTTTGGAAAAAGAATCAGCTGAAATTCAGGCATTACAGAAAAAAAGTCAGTTACTTTGAGCTAGAGACTGTAGTGAGGGGGGTGGGAGGCTCAGAGAAGTTTCCCCAAATGTGGCAAGAAGCAGCATATTCAAGTTAAATACAGGTTAGGCTGAATCACTGCTAGCTTCATACGATTATATTGTGTTACTGGGAGGAAAGGGTTGTTAGGGTGGTGAGGCACTGGCACAGGTTGCCCAAGGAGGCTGTGGATGCCCCATCCCTGCAGGCATTCAAGGCCAGGCTGGATGTGGCTCTGGGCAGCCTGGGCTGCTGGTTGGCGACCTGCACACAGCAGGGGGTTGGAGCTGGATGAGCACTGTGCTCCTGTGCAACCCAGGCCATTCTGTGATTCTATGATTAGAGGTCATAGAGCAAAAGAGGTGAGCACGGAAAGGGAATGGAGCATTTCTCCCACTGGAACAGGAGCCAGGAGAGCCCTGTGCCCTGGAATGGGAGGTGGGGACATGCTGCTTCACCCAGGGCCAATGGCTGCATTGGCACTGCTCAGGTTTTAGTGCCATGCATGGGGACTGGGGCTGCTTCCTCAACCTGTGGCCAACCTACAGCCTCACTTCCAGCAGTGGCACCAGGGAAGCAGCCTTGTGGGAGCTCTCATGGGACTGCTGTGTCACCAGGGCAGATGGCAAAGGCAGCACTGCCACCACAGGGACACATCCAGTGCCAGCACCACTGCTCAGCCGTGAGGAGCTGCAGGAGGTGTTGGGTCCTATGGGATTTGTGCAGGGAGCTCTAGAAGTTCCTTTGTATGCTCTTTTACAAGATGAGAAGTTCTTGGCAGAAAACGATGTCCTTTCTAATGTGTCTTTTTTTTTACACAGAAGAAACAATAATTGTATGGAAACGTTCCCCTGATCTGCTGAATGAAGCCAACAAGAGTTTTGCAGATCCACTGAAATCTTTTCTTCCTCCTTTATCTCCTAAAAGTACAGTTCTAACTGGAGGAGAGTATCAAGGTAACATCTGCTGGACCAGCACTTGTGTTTCAAAAGACATGCAAGCCACTAAGGTCTCCAATGAGCCTTTGTCTTGCTTTTATTAAGTGCTTTGTCATTCTAGAAAACATTTCAGAACTTGTTACAGCTGAAGATGGCTGTAAAATATGGTATCATAAGGAACCACAGTGACATACCCATTTCTATGTCTCCGTTCAGATCACAGACAGGGATGCTCAGAACAGATGTCAAGGAATTGTTGCTTATTTGCAATTACATTTGACTTCCTTAGACAGCTCTCTACAGAGAAAGTTTCATGTGGCTCTTCATATTTAATGAGTAGTCTTTCTAGGTTTCTAATTTTCAAATATTGACCAACTGTTACTACACCAATATATTCTGCTTACAAAACAAGAAGGTGACTTCTGTGACTCATTTGCAGGAGATGGATGGTGGGAGCTGTGCTGCAGCACCTCCCTTGGGCAGCCCCATCATGATGTGGCTCCAGCAAAACCGGGGCTTTGTCTGTGCAGTGCTGTGGCTGCAAAGGGCACAGGGCAGCCAGCACTTCCCCATGGCTCTTGGGCAGCTCCACACCTTCTATGTGGGCTGAGGTCCTTCCTGCTGCATCAGTGCAAGGCTGTTGGGGAGCACCAGCTGTGCTCTTCTGGGAGTGCTGCTGGCTGCTGGCTGCTGGCCCTCCTCTGCAGCCTGGACAAGTGCTTCAGATCTCCACAAACAATTTGAAATTGAGGCACTGCAAAGCATGACGCAGCTCTAGAAAGAGTCACTGACAAGACTGCTCTTGAGGGCCATGTTCATGGAGTGCAGGTGGAATTTGCGTCTGAATATGTGTATGTTTATATATAAATGTGTATACATGCATACCTGCATACACACATACATATATATGCAATTTTAAAATAGAATCATAGAATTACAGAATCACAGAAAGGCCTGGGTTGCACAGGAGCACAGTGCTCATCCAGCTCCAACCCCCTGCTGTGTGCAGGTCGCCAACCAGCAGCCCAGGCTGCCCAGAGCCACATCCAGCCTGGCCTTGAATGCCTGCAGGGATGGGGCATCCACAGCCTCCTTGGGCAACCTGTGCCAGTGCCTCACCACCCTCTGGCTCAAAAACTTCCTCCTCATATCCAACCTAAACCTCCCCTGTCTCACTTTAAAACCATTCCCCCTTGTCCTACCACTACCCACCCTTGTAAACAGTCCTGTCCCTTCCTGTTTATATGCTGTTGTCAAATACTGGAAGGCCACAATGATAGATCAAGGATTTCCAATGAACTGGGCAGTAGTCCCACTTACTGAAAACTTCTGATATAAATGCAGACCTTTTGGTCATTTAGTCAAAACCTGGGAACAATTCAGACTTCTAAATCCAGAGTGTGAGATTCTCCCTCAGGGGAGTGAAGCTGGCTCTCATTGCGGACAGCCTTTGTTTTCAGACACCAAGAGGATTTTCACCAAAAGACTCTCCCTCTCCTATGCAGTCAGCCCTGTCCATACAGGGAGGTGTCCCAGCCCTGTGGTCACCCCTGTCCTGGGGGTCTGGACGCAAGGCAGGGATGCGTGGGGCTGCCTGTTTCCAACACCAAAGGAAGCTCTGCCACCCGCTGGAGCTCATGCTTTCAGTGAGAGCATGTGCAGAAATCTTCCAGCTTTGCTTATGGGAAAACATGTCCAGATCAACAAAATGAAGTTAAAAAAAAATTATCTCTGGCACAATCCAGATCATTAAGTGCAACATCACCAGAAGGCTGGCACTTCCTAGGCACACAGAGGCCCTGGAAAGAAAACCTGTGCTGAAAACTTGCCTCTTTGGGGACCCTGCACAAAGCGGTGGGTTCGCAGGCAGCCCCTTCGGATGTCCTCTCTTTGCTGTGAGCTCTCTTTTTATCTCGCCTCTATTTCAAAGGAGCTTAGACAAAGCCAAGAGCTGAGCTGCAGGAACTGGTGGAAAGAAGGTGTTGCCATGTTATATATTATCACAGCCATCACCATGGAAACGGGAAGATGGGACTGACCTTGCTGGTTTGCCACTGATCCTGCAAGGGCTCAGCCTTGCATCTCGAGTTAAGCTCTGCTGGGATTGGAGATACACATCTGAAGTTAATAAATTAGAGGGGCAAAAGTCACAGAATTTGGGAAATGCAAAATGTAGGATCTGTTAATCTGCGCTTCTGATGCTCTCGCAGAGAAGGAAACAGCTATTTTTGTGCACACGGTTCAGCGAGATGTAAAAGAGGTTCAATATTAAGTTCAGTGTTAATTATACACTTCTCCAGGCTTTCTGGTGCCTTTTTATAACACCAGCCTCCAACAGGGACATGGCTCCCTCCTGCCATCACCCCGGCAGCGTGTGGCTGCAGCCTTGCTCCTCCCAGCAGCCCGGGCTGTGGCTCTGCCCTACTCACTGCCATTCACCTCTTGAGTAGGGCTCTGCTGCTGCCAGCAAGGAGCTGAGTGCTGCTGTTCTTTGCTGTGAGAGTGGTGAGGTGCTGGAACAGCTGCCCAGAGAGGCTGTGATGCCCCGTCCATCCCTGGAGGTGTTCAGGGCCAGGTTGGATGGGGCCCTGGGCAGCCTGGGCTGCTGTGAAATGGGGAGGTTGGTGACCCTGCATGGCACAGGGGGGTTGGAGCTTCGTGATCCTTGAGGTCCCTTCCAACCCAGGCCGTTCTGTGATTCTGTGTGCTTCCCTTGCATGTAGATACAGAAGTGTTGTAGCCTCACCTGCATGGATACCCTGGTGCTACAGACTGGCATAATGGGAAACGTGTGTCATGCAGATCTGGCCTGAGCCCTCAGGGTGCCCGTATGGCGTGCAAGAATCTCTGCTCTGGCTGGGAGCCTGCACAGAAATACTGGGCATGGGCACCTGGGGCAGGGGGCTGCCAGGGGACCCTGAGGGACCCACGTGTGTGTGATGCCAAGTCCCTGTCCCTGCTGCTGAGCCTTGGTTCGCACAATACAAACATAAAGCAAGAACTGTAACTGAAGCTGATATAATCCAAGAGTGCAATGCACATAATGCCAGCAATGGAGACGCTGGGTTTTTGCAGCACCCCTGGTACAAATGCGCACCATCTCCCCTGGAAGCTGTCTACGTGCAGATCCCCGCTGTGGCCAACCAAGGCTTTGTGTCGTGTTTGTGCCCCTCCAGGAACGGCAGTGCCTTCCTCCTAGGATTCCCACTCTGCTCTCATCAGTCACAGAAGCAGCACAGTTTTAAATTTATTTGAAGAATGTAAGTTTGGTAGCACTGGCATCTGAGAAAATCAGTTTTGTCTGCTCAGCTTCATTCTGTGTGCCACCAGGTGCTGTTGTAGACACAAGCATATGACCAGAAACCATAAGGAATATTTGCACAAGCCTCATTTGTTCTGTGTTTTGGCCTCTGTCCACAGGTGACCTATATAGCATCTTACACAGCTGCTTAAAATTGTGAGGATGTTAGTTTCGTATTTATATTCAATTTAATTTGTTAACCTCTTGTCAGTTGTGTGGCTTCCCGTGCTCTGAGCACTCAGTCGCAGCTCCTGTTCTCCCTGCTGGGACCAGACTGAGGGATTTCCAAAGGGGAAGCATTTCCTGCATTCACTCCTGTGGGTCTTTTCTGCAGTCTCCATTCTCATAGTGGCTTGTCTTCCCTCTGGTGCTCCGAAAACATCGCATCCCACAGAGAAAAGATTCAGTATGACCTGAAAAAAACCCGACTGTTGTTTAAGAGGCTGAGGCAGACAGCCCTACGAGACCAGCACAGTGTGTTGTTACATTAAGCTCTAATCAAGGGCCATTAATATGGAACACGAAGCTCACCTGCCCCAGCTGTTGGGAGCTCTGATGTCTGTGCAGGCACCTTCCGTTCCCTTTTATTGACAAACCACATTTCTAAATTACATTGATTTTAGCATTTGTTTTACTTATCAGTAACCAGAGCAGCACAGGCAGGGGGGCAGTCCCATGCCCAGCTGCTCCCCTGTGAAGTTTCCACCTGCAGCTGCTGTGTTTTTACCTGCTGATTGTATTGGATTGCTGGAAATCCACTGTAATGGATCATCTCCAGCCCTCCCAGGACAGCTCTGTGATGCAGGATGCCTGGGTGACACAGGGTGAGTGGGTGACATGGGACAGTGCTGTGGATCAGCCTGGAACACCCTGAGAGGTGCAACCTGTAGCCATCAGGTTTTCCCATTTTCCCTAGTCAACTGTTATCTAATTGATGCAATTCAATGTTACTGTTATGGAAAAAATACACTTAGATGGCTTTCTGTTTGATTTAATCTTCCCATCCATGCCATCAGGGTCTGGGTAGATTTACAGCTGCTGACATTGTTGGGTGGGAAGAGGGCAGAAAGGGAAAGGGAATATGATTTGCTCATTTAAGGAAGAAATTAGAAGATATTTTTACCTTGACAATCTATCAGGGGCTACTGAAGGCAGCTGTTGCTTTGTCTATACTCACTCCTATGGAAGTTTTTTCCCCACACCCAAAAAAGAAGGGCTGCCCAGGGGAGCAGCGTGCAGCACCACACACATGGCAAGGGGCAGGGCCTGGATGAACACTGCAGATGGGGATGGGTATTGCTGGAAATCATTGTCTGCTATGTATTCTGCAGTATTATCAGTGAATCCCAGCCATGGGGCAAGGCAGCAGAGTTACAATGACAACCAACAAAGGCTGCAGCTGCCTGGGAAACATGGGGCCCTGACTGCTGCCAGAGCTTCTCCTGACTGATTTGAGAGCATAAATACTTATTTTCTATTAAAAGCAAACCAACCAACCCCAACAATCCCATCAGGACCGTCCTGAAGGATGTGACCCAGCAGTGCTGCCTCCAGCCGTGTCACCATGCAGCCCCCAGCAGCTGCAGCTCAGTGCTATGGAGGCACTTACTGCTGGGAAATGAAGGATGCTGCAACAGAGGATCTTCAGAAACTGCTCAAAGCCCAGGGAGCCTCGCATGGCACACAGGAGGAGGAAGGCTGTTGCTCTTCAGCATGGCAGTGTTCTGTTTCTGCCCGTTCTTAGTGTGAAGAACAGATTGCTCAGCCTTACAGGTAGCAGAGCAGAACAATTCACAGTGGAAACGTTGAATGTAGAAGTGTTTGCTTCAGCATAGCACCAACATTCCAGCATCTTTCATGGGTGCGGAGCTGCCCAGGTGCTCCTGGCACCTCCATCTTCCTATGGGCAGAGGGAGCTTGGGGAGAGCTGTCTGCCCCCCTCTTGCAGACGCTCCCCAGGGCACAGACCTGGGCAGGATCCCAGGCGCTGGAATTCCCTCTGGCTGCTGCAGGAAGGGACTGGAGGCAATGGTCTGCAGAGGGAGAGGATTCTGCACTGCCAGGAAAATCCTGTCAGCAGCAAGGAGAGCTCCGGGGAAAATAATGCTCTGCTGACCGTGGAAAAGTCACATGTTTGGCATTAATGCATAGTTCTGATAACAGAATTTTTTTTTTAATTTATAGTATTTTTACCTGAAGTATTAGTGCAACCAGCTCACATGGGAATGTATCTTTAAAATAACGTAGGATAAAAATAAGAGCTTGGAAAGGCATTCAAGAATTCATTAGAATTCTACAAAACAGCATGAGCTGATGCATTTTTTCAGATACTTATTTCATTAATATATATATACATATTCAATTAAAAATTACATTTTTTATTTGTCAAAATGAGATATTGAGGAACATTAACAATATAAAGACGGGGCTACTTCAAAATATAATTTTTCACTGAAAAAAAAAATAACCTCAGGTAGATGTTTTTCTGTTCCTGTCATTATTACTATTTTCAGAGAGCTATAAATTAATAAACCAAACAAAACATTAATTGCATAATCATGCTGGAATTTTCTTTAAGCTGGAATTACC